ACCTGGACCAAACCTGGACACGTGAACTCGTGTTGAGTCAGACCTGATCCAGCAGTGAACTCACCTGTAGGTGAGTCAGACGGATGATGAGTTCAGCCACTCCCTGACTGGTGACGGCCGTTCGGTCCAGACACAGATCTTCCAGCGCCTGCAGGCCGCACAGAGACGGAAGCCCTGCATCTGTCACGTGAGTGTTGCTTAGTGACAGCCTCCGCAATCTTTAAAAAAAACAAACAAATCACAGTGTAAATGTTTTGGTATTGACACTGACGTGATGGTTTGGTGATTGGTACTGATTGTGATCCTCTCTGCGTTTCTCACATGACTCCAGTGCCTGTGGGCACTGCACAGACAGAGGAAAGACCTATGGAATTCCATCCCTAAAGTTTTACGCCACTCACTTGGTCAAGGTGGACAGAGACTGGACTCCTGTGTCAGTGACTTGTGTGTAGTCTGTCAGGTCCAGCTCTGAGAGCAGAGACAGAGCAGAGAGATGGGACAACCCACTGTCGCTGACCGTGTGACGTCCAGGGAGGACCAGGTGAGTCAACTTCAGACCTGGAGAAGAAGACGGAGAACTTGACTGTAATCTCAGGTTCATCCTGGACACTTTGGCTTCAGCTCACACTTCTACCGACCTGCGATTATCTGCAGGGCGTCGTTGCCATCGGTGACGGGAATGTCGGCTAAAGTGAGGAAGGTCAGAGCAGGCAGCGTGGCCAGGCACCTGAGTGACGCCTCGGACACACCGGTCCGGTCCAGGTTCAGTGTCTGCAGACTGGACAGCTCTGCTAAAGCTGAGACATCTTTAACCTTTAAAGAAAAGACGAAGAAAAGGGTTGACCACGGCTGACGAAAATTAGATCCTACACCAAGACCGACATCAGCAGAGCTACTGCACCTTTGTCTGCTTGATGCTGAGCAGTCGCAGCTGCGGCACACAGGTCGGCAGGACCACCAGGGTAGCCTCTGTCACAGCTGTCTGGTTCAGGCTGAGGTGAGTCAGGCAGGGTGGAGCAGTCTGGAGGTACATCACCATCCCAGCGTCAGTCACTCTGGTCTGGTCCAGCAACAAGGAACTTATTCTCCTCAGACCTTCAAAGATGGAGAGGGAAAATAAACAGATGCAAAAAAAAAAAACAGGACAAGGCAAATCCTGACAGGAAGTAGTAAACGGAGAGCAGCTTATGTTGGATTGAGCGCATTCCTGTGTGTCATTGTTACTACTGGAGCAGTGTTACGTAATGTGCTGTTAGTCTGAGCCTGGTTTACAAACAGAAGGTCTGACCTGTGATGTGCTGCAGGCAGGCATCGGTCAGTTTGTTGCAGGAGGCCAGGTTTAGGTACTGGAGTTTGACAAGGCTGGACAGGGTGGACAGACCGGAGTCTGAACAGAAAAAAAAAATTAAAAAAGATCACAAACATTGATGAAAGTTGAAAAAGGACAGACAGTTGTACTGTACCGGTGATGAGCGGTGAGTTGACGAGACTCAGATGTTTAAGAGCAGGAAAGGCCCTCAGCTGCCTCAGCAGCTCATTGGTGGAGTAAGGATAGGAGTTGAGGACGATCTTCTGCAGCGGGCAGCCAAAGAACAGCTCCAGGGTGCGTGGGCGAAGGACCATTTCACGGGACATGTGGTTGAGCAGAAGCTCGGCCAGCTCCGAGGTCAGACCTGCCATGCTGCTGCTGTACTGCATGCTGGGAGCTGACAAAGTGACGAGGAAACAGTGAAAGTCATTTGTCTAGACTAAAAAGAAAAAAAAAATCCCCAGAGCCCATTTCTCCTTTTCTCACCAGTCATGAGATGCACGGTTGCAGAGGTAGCCAAGGCACATAAGGACGGAACACTGGGTGTCCTAAAGGGTCTCTTGGGAGGCGAGGGTTGCCCCGGGGAGGCATTGGGTTCATCTTGTTGCGCGGCCCGTTGGAGGCGCTCTACCGCAGCCTGACCTGCAGCTACAGGAGCGACTCGACCTCCTGCGTCCTCCGGCTCTCCTTGGTTCTCCTCTGGAGCCTCCCTGAAACATATGCAGCAGACCGTCGTTCAGAAAGGTGCTAAAGGTCCCGTGTAAAAACATACTGATCCAAATAATCACCTGAGTCGATTGCCTTGGTCTGGCCAGTGGTGCCTGGGCTGGAATCCTCCTCGGATTCTGTTCTCTGGGAAGAAAG